ATATATATATATATATATATATATATATATATATATATCAGATGTATCAAAAAGATTTTATATATAAAAGGACTCTGAAAGGAAAGGAAAGAGACAGTGTTTAATCTTTGAATTAAACATAACTAACTTATATTTCAGGCTTTAATTAATTATATCAAATAGTCACTCAGTTGCTATTCCTAATCCTGGTTCCTAATGATTTATATTATTTTTTAAATCGCTGAATCCGCGGAATACTTTTTAATGTACAATACTCCGAATGGAATTTATTATATTTAACGCCTTTATATAATAGCATTATTTTAGAAAAAAATGAGGGAAGATGTCGATAAAAATTATGAAATGGCTATAATTAAGGTATTATTTAATAAGTTAATTACTGGTTAAGTTAATCACTGATTCATCGGAGTTTGATCGAATAATGTCTATTTCTATCAATACAGATGAACTTTAACCTCGGTTTAATTACTTTTTATCTTTCTGATTCTTTTTATCTTTTTCTGATTCTTAAAATAGAAAAAGATAAAAACTAAGTTAAATAATGAAAACAATGAATATAAGTCACCTTTCTTATAAATTGAAGAGCATCATCCGCAAGACGTAAAGCGATTTACTTCACTCTGAATTGTCTCTTCTAAGTTTTTTTTAAGATATCGAAAGACGCACATATTGCTATTCTCACTCAATATTTTATCTAAATATTTTTGAAACAAGGTAAGTTATATACATTATTTTCAAGCTCATTTTGAAGCGAAGCAATATACGCGCGCCCGTGCACATGCACAGAGATACGCGCTGATAATAGTAAAAATAATATTTCTAATGTTATAACTGTTACCTAGTACTCTGTTATTATTGTGTATTAATAATATAATATATACAGCAAAAATGGAATATCATGAATTAATATTTTGCAAATGTTTCCCAGGATTCGGTTTCGGAATATTTCGGGTGAAGGTTCCTGAACGAGGACTCGTTAGGCTTCCCTCCTCTTCCTCGCAGGAAAATCCACTCGTTCCTTAACCCTTCCTTATATCTTCGACGGGGAAGGGAACGGAGAGAATGACATAAAGGTGAAGCGGCATCGAGACGTAGCGCACTCTACGGCGGCCAGAAGAGAGAGAGAGAGAGAGCGAGCGTCGAATATATTTTTTCTTTACTTTCTCCCTTCTGCCGCGTTGCGCGATTCAACGTCATTCAACGTCATTAGCAACCACCCTCGCCTCGCGAGGAAGCCGGCACGTCGCAGACACGCTCAGTCCACGCCACGAGACAGAGATCGTCGGACGCACGAAGGTGTAAGGTCCGTCCTGCCCGGTCCCCATTCGAAGATCAGTCGTCCTCCGAACGCGTTCTCCATTCGAGGACCAGAGAAGCACGAGGTCGAGAGATAGCTAAAGAAGCTGATTGTACGCTCGACGATATCGCAGATCGGAACGCAATGTGTGTTCGCACGCTGGTGGGTAACGAGACGAGCGAGCCGATCGCGCCGACCACCGACTCGAAGCAGTCCAGCAAGACGTCCCGTGCCAAAGAGAAGTACATGAGGCTCTACGAGGAGATGCTGGAAAAGGAGGAGCTCCAGCGTCGGCGGGCAAAGGAGGAGGAGGATGAGGAGGACACGCTCTACCTGTCCGATCTGGCCGACGACGTCTTGGTCGCCAGCACTAATCACTACAGTCTAATGCTGAAGAAGCTGTCCACGTACTACGAGGTCGTGCGCCGCTCCAAGGCGTTCAAGTAAGTATAAGCGATCCCTCCGCCGTCATTTTCAGCGTAAAAATTGACCTGGAGAAACGGAAAGGTTGATCCTTTGTACGAAGACGAAGATCTCGTCAGGTCTCTTTGACTCTCGTCTCATCTGTTGTGGTTCGCTTTCTTCCACCGTAGGTTTCCGCGACGGCAGATCTGGGTTCCACGGAGTTAGCTAGGCGCACGTGAGTTTCCTGGAGTTCGCGCGAGGTCCTTACACCCGTGGGGACACGCCACTCGCGGACGTAGCTTTCTACGGCAGATTATTCGCGCTTGCTAATTTCACAGGCGAAAGTATTGTGTATTTATATCATTCGCAGAGACGTACGGTCTTTGAAGCTATACGAGATCTACGTACATACATCTTTTACCTGGTTTTTAGGAAGTTCTGATAACAAAGCATCATTACCATATGGTCTTTAGGCACGATTTGCAAGAACTCGATATACGCAGTGTCTTCGCATATACGACGTTCTTGCAAATCGAAATTGTTTCACCATAGCCGCCTTCGCGTTCTCGTTACATTACTTGTTATCCGAGACGCATATCGGTGTATCAATGAACGCGGACAATACGTGTAACGTAACGCAACACATAGAAATAATCTCGATATATTTCCTTGGGTAGACTTTCTCTCCGTATAACGTATGCTTCAGTGTTTTTATGGAAGGTAGTTATATCTTTGTAATCAAGAGCGACTGTCTTCGTGACATTAACTTCAAATTTATCGAGCAAACTCACAGCGATGCTGTAATATAAAATTTTGATGATAAAGCCGTCTGGTGCGTATCTCGAGGAGCAAAGGTTCGCCGCGGTTCGGAGCAAAATAGGAGCGCGACTCCGATTGGTAATTCATTTTTTTTTTATTATTATCTCTAAGCAGAAGGTCAGTTATCCAATTTCCTATGATGTATCTTACATTTAGAAATGAGATAAGAAGTAATATAGTAAGAAATAAAATAATATCGCGAATAGATGTATCAGGAGCCGAGGTAGAAAGGAGAGTCCGATCTTCAAGTCTTTTAAGGCCTCGGCGCAATGAAAAATATAAGGAATAAGGAACAGATATAGCGATTAGGAATAAGAAATCAGGAATCAGGAATATTGCCTGTGTTTTTCATCGCGCATCCAGCTTTATTCCTGATTCTTTAGTCCTAATCGCTAATATCTGTTCCTTGTTCCTTATATTTTTCACTGTGCGGGGACTTTTACTCCGCAAGACAGATGCAAAAAGTATAGCTTTCAAATATTGGGAGTTATTTACATATAGAGCCATCGCTCTAATAAATCTAAACGGATGTTCGGCGAACATTTTAATACGGCGTACGATGAGGTTTAATTCTGATATCAGCTGATAACAGCTTCTGGTTCATCTAAGTGATAACGCACGAGTATATGTTTCTTTAATTTTTATCGAACTAGATCATCGCTCTGGAACATAAAAAATCACTCATTACCGATGCAGGATGTATGTGCACTAAGTCTCAGAACGTTTTTAATTGAAATTGAATTTCAGGTAATTCATAAAACACCCCAATCAATGGATGATGTAAGTCGAGACTGATGACGCGCAATCTGTTTCGTTTGAAAATCTTCCGTGTTTTCGCGATAAATCATTCGAGCACGTACCTATGACGCATTTATCGTACCTCGTAGCTCTTTTCCATTTGCACGACTTATCTACGTCAGTCGACGCTCGTCTTTAGTCTATTTCCGAGTTGTTACGACAGCAATGCTCAATTGGTCTACGCACAAAAAAGTTTCGTTATCTGTAAGAAGATCGAAGCATTCATCATTTGATGTATCTTTTACATCTAACGAGATCAGATATATCTTTTAAGAAGAGATCAAATTAGCCTTGCTTTAAAAATCTATTATAATTGTTTCAATTATCTTATACTCTTGTATATATCTTTATAAAAATTAAAATTTACAGGTAGAGATATTTCTATTTTTAAAGATCTAAAAATAGTGTTGCAAATGGCCCATTATTTTTGCCAAAAGTTTGCGCTAATGTCTCGTGAATAAGTTTTTTTTTTCCCCGATGTCAATTCCTTGCGTGTCTTCTTTACTAGATATTTTTAAAACTGTCTGAGTTCCAACGTCACGCTTGAAAGAAATGGAAAAATTTTACAGATCTCCGCAAATCCGCTTAACTCGACAGAAAGATAGATGCATCGATAACGTAATGTAGTAATCCCCGTGTAATATATCGCAGGCTTTATTTTTCGTTAATTATAATCAAGTTCCATGTATAATGGAGAGAGACTGGATGAGTAAATCTATCTGTTCTGTCGATCGGCGCAATTATTCCGGGCGTTAACACTAGACGTCCATAATTAGCCGATCAAGTAATTACGTGTCTGCGGCACGTCTCGTGTGGGAACACAGGCCGATGACTGCGTCCGTGCCGCGCAATCGTACGTTCTCTCGGATAGAGACGAACGAATGGAACAATACAGCTTTGTAAAGGATGTAACGTGAACTCAAGCTTCTTTCACATGCCCTCATGCGTGGCCTTATCCAATTCCAGATTCGTAAGTCTTCTTTTTCGTCGCATTCCGCATTCTCTTAGGATATTTATATTTCACATCAGGTATCTCTTTTTATATCCTCCATCTATAATGGATAGAATTATATATCTATAAATAGCACATTTGAAATAAGATATTCTCAGTCTGAGCCGACGATTTTCTGGATATAGTGTCCTCGCTGAATCAGGCTGCCCCATTGCAATTATATTTTAAATTATATTTTATTACAAGGATGCATGTGTATAATTTGGCACAAGGACGCAGTTATGATTTCTATTGCGTAACGGCGGCAATCCAAATGCAGTTTAATAGCACATTAAATTTCTTTATCGAGTACTTTATTACGTTAATCGTTATATCGCAAATTAACATCTTTTTCGGTAATACATGGTAATGCGCGCACTTTTCGCGCGCGAGGCGTCGGTAATTCTTGTTTGCACAAGCATAATGGAAGATAATGGACTTCCTCTCGCGCGCTGGAATTGCATACGTGTGCATTCTCGGGCCTGGCAACACGACTCCAATAAAAAAGATATAATTACAGACCCCGGGTACCGTGGGCGGCACCCGCAAAAACTCGTTCGCGATACAAAGGCGTAGGGAATGTCTCGTCGGGAAGTTCTTTATTAAACGGCCCGGTCCCCGGTTGATCGATTATTCCCGAAAATGCAGCCTCGAAGCTGTCCATCATTTCTAATAATTACTTTTTCGCGAAACGGTTACGCTGATGCTTCTTTAATGGTTGCCAATTAGCCGATCAAAGAAGAGCGATCGCGTCTTGTATTTTGCGATGCATCATAAATTTTGCATTTTCGAAACACGAAGATGCTGCGACCACGCATAAATCTGCCGGTTAAAACGAAACCGTGTCAGAATTTCTCTTTGCGCTCCGTTCACGCGAGCCTAATTAACGGCTTGATATTATCAGTGTATTAGTAATAACCGATCATTCGATAACGCGGTGACACACGACTGTAAATTTCAAGGATTTCTTTTTATAGAAATTTCTTTCTAAGCGGACGAGCAAACGAGTTCAGGAGGATTTCTGTCAGGAGACACGTCTAACATTCTATTTGCCACATCGTGTGGCTTTGGCTTGGTAAATCGCCAAGTTGGACACACTTTCGCATCTTCAAAGAATCCGCAAATGAAGCTTGACTACACGATTTTTGTTCGTTTTGCGATGTTCCGTTATGCCGCGCAGCCGGCGTTTCCATTAGGACCACGCCACGGGGTATTTAACAATTTTATTCTTTTTATGCAAATCACTCGGCTTGTTGGTCCATCATTTATGCATCATTCATTCTACTTATTTATTCTACAATTAATTTATTTATTAAATCCTTAATTATAGTCCTACCTGAATACTCTTAGTAAACTTTTAATAGCTATATTTTCCTTTTCTTTGTATTTTAGACGTTTCTTCAATATGTTGTATTACATTGAAGTTAATTTAATATACATATTTACCTACACAGGGAAATCGGGCGCTTGGCAACTGCGACAAGCTTGTTTAGAATCAAGTTACATCTTGGCATTAACTCAACGATGTTCAACAGCGATAAAACGCAGGGACCGGACGCGTGCAATAGAGATTCGCGCGTATCGCTTCACGTCATTAATAAAATCAGAGGACTGATTTTGCAGATCATACGCGTGGCCGCGATCTAACAATAAGCGGCGGGTAGTCGTGCGTGCCTTCTCGCACGTTTCCCAGTGCCGCTTGATAATGCCACGCTCCGCTCGAATGCACCTACACGTGAATACGCGCACACACACATAGGTGCGTTTAGCACGTCGAATTACGGCCGTGTATCCGGACCTCGACCCTCGATTCTCCCTTTCGCGGATCCTCTGTCGCACGAGAACGGAAAGTATTTTAAATACAGAGAACAGCTTCCTTCCCTCTCGTCGACGAAGTTAAAAATGGGAAAATGCAGAAAATAAGAAATAGAAAGAATATAGAAAGAAGCTAATAAATAAGAGTTGGAAAAACGGAAAATCGAATAATCTATCGCGAATATATGTAACAACGAAAATAACGAATACGCATTTACTTACAATAAGAAAGAGAGACAAAGAGTGAGATATAATGTATATATATGGCTAAAATTATCTGGGATTCTATGGAAAGGATATTAAAATAATAAAAAATATCAAAGTCCGTAGAAGATTGCAAGATTTACGAAACATATACATTGCAATGTATTGCAAGTTTTCGAGTAATCTGTGCACAATAAATCTTATTAATCTTATTAATCAAATCTTTATATCATTAAGACGTCTGCCTCGAGACGTAAATTTAGATGTATTGTGCGATTATCATGACCGATTTAAAAAAAGGTGAAACCTAAGAAAGAAAAAAGTGTTCGTCACTTTAATGCGGTAGACGTGACGCAAAATGCTCGGTGGGCAAACATTTTCGCTTCTCGTGCACCCGTTCGTGACGAAATTTCGATTTTGTAATCTCATGGAGGCAGCTGCACGGGAGATTGACAAGCGCGAAATTGTCCGTGCCGACGACTTCTGACTGACCTCGAGGTGGTTAATCGACACTTGACGGGGATCGACAATCGATGCCAGCACGCGCGTGCTATTGTCACAGATGTTTCTTATCAAGTCAATCGAGAACAAGTTGCCAGATAAATTTCTCTCTTTCTCTCTCTCCCTCTCTTTCGGCGACTGCTGCACTCCTCGTGATTTTATTTGCAAATGTGAAATTAGTCCAAGGATGTGAAACACGTCTGTATTGATTTACGTCGGCTCTCTTATCTGGTTAACGAAAGAGAGTAATTTGCTCGTCGCGAGAGTATCTCTTGCGTTTGCTCGTGCAATATTGACTCTATTGCGCAAATTACACGTCGGTAAAGTTTATACACTTTATACAAATATGTTTGTACAGCGAAGCGTGACATTATCGAGCTTCCTTACGATTTGCGCCTGGAAAATTTCGCAAACCGCTTTTCGTCGATCGTTGAACGTGAATAAAAATAAAAACCTCGCCATTGAGGATACAAACAACATTGAATAATAATTATTTGTTGTTGTTTGTTGTATGATTGATGAACAAACAGAGACGCTTAAGGCCGTCACAGGCGATAACTTTGTGTCAAACTTGGTGCAGTCGTACCTGCATGAACAATATAATAATAAATCATGCGTTAATTCTCGCAATGAGACAAACAGTTGATTCGCGTAAAAAATAGAATGGGATTAATTTGAATACGTATTTTGCTTTTCAATAAAATATAAAGAATTTGAATTGAACAGAATTGCATTCTGGTTTGCGTTCTCGACTTGTTGCCAAAAACAGGATGACACCTCGGGGTGTACAACCGGTAATTCATAAACTTGCCCGTAAGACACTTCGGAGAATTTCGAGAAAAGGTCACGCACGCGCGTGCATGCCCATGTAACATGTGAAGGAATTATTTCTTTCTCGTTTTTTTTTTAAACATGCCGCAGGCAGCATACGTCTGGTCTCAGCGGGAAGCACCTGATGATTTAATAACGGCTTGTCCAGCTTCTCACGTTATCCTTTTTAACATTCACGTCATACGGAATATAAATAATAATTATATTCTCCCGATATCGCGCTCATGCAATGTTCTTGAAATAGTCCTCTATCTCTTTATGCATTTTATCGCATCAAATCGATGATAATAAGATATAATAATTATAGTAGAAGATAACATATGATGCAATATTACACGTGAAATTCATCAGTTTGATTCATAGATGCAGACGAATCTATATGAGTCAATTGTGATTGCTTATATTGGCAGTGAAGGAGTAAAGCACTACCAAGTCTCGGCGAATTTATACGACGTTGACGTCACGCATAAATTAGTTCTAAATGAGGCGCGCCGCGGAGATTACTTAACGGAGACTTGCACGTGATGAAAATTAAACCGGTCGTTGATATCGCGACACTGTGTGTCCCAAGTCCATGTATGGCTCTATGGTTCAAGGTACTCCGTGAATTATCTAATACGACAATCTTCCGTTGATGACGATATCGCGCGTATCTCGCAAAAATTTCATTAAATTTATCAGCGAGTTTTCCAGCGGCGAAAAGAGATCTGACGTCGATCGAGTCTAAATTGTACCAGTGATAGAAGTTTATCAATCTTTTATGAAGATGTCAATTTTCTTCAATTGACATCACCATAAAATTGTTCCCTGCACAATTTATGAGAGATCAAGATTGATTAAATTTGTAATTGTCGTTTTGCAGGATCCTCTTTTACACGACGCAACCCGCGCACGTAATCACGATCGCCGCGGTCTTATTTGTTACAACGGTTCTCTTTCCAATCAAGGGAAGAGTACAGGTCTCTAGTCATCCTTATTCAAGAATGATGTCCTTCATTTATCTCGCATCCTTTGTCATACATTTTGGTGCTCAAATCTGGATGACTTTCGTATCAGGTATGTATATCTATGTAAATAATTGACAAATACCGACAATGAGTATATATTTGAATAAAACGCAGTAAATCAAGAGATTACTTCGTTCTCTAATTTATTTAAATTTCTTTTTTTATTTTTAAGTTGACTTTCTCTAAAATGATATATGGATTTAATTACAGGTCTATCTTTGTACTTTGCATTGCCACGACATGCATTCGGTGAAGTGCAGCGCGTTCTATTTCCAAGATACTTCACGATTAACGCGTGTCTGAGTCTCATCACGCTCCTCATATTCGTCAAGCATCATCCGGCGCATACATGGGACGCTGAAATTGGTGTTCAGGTAAGCAGATAAGTTTGACATGTTTGATATTTAAAAAAATGAGATATATATAATTTGATTTCCTCTGCAACTTAATTTTCATTTAATCTTAAATAAATTTAATAAAGATTCTCAGAGAAGTAAAAGTGAAACTCGTGTTACGCCGCAGGTTGGTGCAATGTCCGGAGCCTTTTTCTTGGAACTGCTGATACGCCTCTACCTGACACCTCCGCTTCTCCAGCTGATTGTGCAAAAAAACAACTTCGAACGCGCGGTGGGCGTCGGCAACGAGATAGGCCGTCACAATCCTGGGCCGCTCAAAAACTGCACGCATTACTTGAAGATCCACCGAGCGTTTCGCCGAGTGCATGTGTGCATAGCCATGGGAAACATGCTCACTATGGCGTGTACGGTACTTCATCTCTATTATATAGCAAGCAAATTATGTGCTTTGTAAGAACAATTAGCTCTTGGTCATAAAATTTACATGCGTATTAGTTCGTGAGGTCAAAGAAGTCCTCGTAAAAGAACATCTAGATGTAATAGAATCTAGAAAATATTAATTTTGAAAAAAGCGTTAGTGGTAGTACATTAGTACGCGTCTCGTACGATGGTAACGGAAGTCATAAAATGCACCGGAATATTCAGCCCTGATGGTGCAAGATGCGATTTTTCCTGCCATTAAAGTTACTTGCAACAAGTTAGACTGTATAACGAGTCTTTCAGTGCAGCTGCCTTGAATTTTAAGCCTCGACGATTTATCGAGGTATATTAGTGTATGTACTACTAATCTGAACTTACTCTATGTTAAAATAGAGTAAGCAATCAGGTGATTGTAATTGACATTTGCATGATGTAAGTCACTCTGTGACTTATCCTCAGAGCTGGACTAGCCAATCAGAAGAGAATAAAGCTAAGACGAAGGTAAAAGACCAGTTTTAACATTTCTCACAAATATGATCTGCTTACAATTTGTTGATAGTGCTGTATAAATTATTGCTGAAAATAGTGGGAAACGCGTGCATGTAATTTGTGAGAATGTCTAGAGATTGAGTGGACGTAATTTATTCATCGGCACACGAAGTGGTCGATGCTTCTATGTAAATAATATACAAATATCTCGTACGAAAATATATCGATTTAATTGTACGTCTTAGGATGAACATATAAAATATTTTTATACTTGTATTTTTTTTCTTGCAAGTTTTAAGGCATGAATTCTTGCCGAAGCGTGTTAAACTCTTGCATTAAAAATGTATTAATAATTATATCAAGGTATCTTATCTGCGATGGAAAATTGTGGCTTGATAATATTTAGAAATTTTTCAAGAATTAGATCAAATTGCTTCGCGATTTTAAGATCGTCGTTATTACATTGGATGCAATAAAAGTACATTTACTCTGTATCAGAGTTAATGATATTTATTGAGATTGCACACTAAAATGATCGTATAGACATAAATGTAACAGTGATATCAATATAGATGAAAAAACGAAGGAATGAATCATTTTATATTAATCGAGTGAATCACCGTCTCATACACACACTCCATTACTGTAAATAACTGCATTCTGTTCACTTAACATTTGTAAATTATACGATATCTCATATAACAATATACGAGTATGTAATGCTTTTTTTTTTATAATTTCTAGTCTTATTAATTATTGATATACCTTCCCATAAATACCAACTCTAATCGAATATTTATGTAATACATCTTAAATTGTCAATGAATACTATATGATAGATGATATAAATTAAACTGCGAGTCTAATATTTCTATCAATGACAATATAATCGTCGAGTACATGGTATACACGGTGTCATTGTATAATATATATTTTCATATATCAAAAATTTACATCTATATAAAAATCTGTACATTGTATACTAAAAATTGTAATCACATGTCATGATCACATTCTATGAATTAATTAATGCTACAATCTAAAGATCCAATCTGATTGCTATAATAATAACTGTAAAATTGTAAATGTTTCCTTTGCCTATACGTAATTTAAGGATGACATGACATTAAAATGATTGACGCCTAATTAATTACATATTAATATAATTTAAGCATCCATAATCTTGGAAAACAATTCCTAATACTATTAAGTTCATATTTTTATAAACATATATACAGTTGTGTGAAACGCATCAAATGAAACATTTTATTGTTATTGTATCTAGGACAGGCTACATATGTCTCTTGCGTTAATGATAAAAAAAGACTTACTCCAGTAGCAACTGTTCGAACATCCCGATAAAATAAATGCGTTTCGATAGAGAAGACATTTATACTCGAAGAATCTCGGCCGCTTTATTGTAACAAATGGCTATCCAGTCGGGCTGCGTGGCGCCCCATTGAATCTGATTGACCTCGCCTTCCGCGGCAGTATAAGCGAGTATAGGATCTTCGATTGCTCGCGGCATTTGTTGAATATCCCAGATTAATGCTTGATGATCATCGCCGGCTGTGCAAATGTGACAAGACGAATGCGGAGCCCAGGCTATTCCGTTAACGCTGGCTCTGTACTCAAAAGAAAAGAAATTAATCCAAGAAACTCCTTAAAAGAACCCAGTATAACAAGTGAGATATCCTTTTTAATGATAAATTATTTATAAATAACAATTATGACTGCAAATAGGTGATTAATATTAAACCGTTTTATACTGACCTGTGATTGTTCAATCTCGCGACTGGCGTGCACGGCACACGAACGTCCAGAATGATAACTTCGCACGCGTCCATCGCCACGGTAGCGAGATAATTGGGATCCTGCTTGTTCCACGCTAATCGTAACAACGGAGTGTGCTGGGGATCCTCATATATTATCGTCGAATGCTCCAAGTGTCGTAGATCGAACATCCTGACGGATCCGTCGGCGCCGACGGAAGCGAACATGTCGCGGCCACCCCCGGCGCGGCTAAACGCGATATCGTACACTTCCTTGTCGTGCGCGATCAGCTGCGTCTTCACGTGACCGGTGACCATGTTTACTCTGCCCAGAACCTGTCCCGTCTCCAGTCCCCAGATAGTACAAGTAGTGTCTATGCTGGAAGTTCCGATTAGATTCGGATCCACCTCATTCCAGTCAAAAGACGTGAGCGGCGCGCAAAAATCTGAGTTCTTATTGTTGTTCAGGACACACTCCAGACGAGTCTCAGGCTCCGCAGCACGCCATACCCTCAAATAGTCGCCGGACGTGGCGAGAAGATCGGGAAACTGACCTGGCAAGTATTCATTCAATTGATGATTGACACAGATCAATTCAAAATAATTGAAAATACAGAAACAAACGAGTACCTTTGCTATCTGGAATCCACATAATTTTTGTCGTGGGATATGGGTGGTCGAATGTACTTTTAGCACTGAACTCAGACGTTTCTTCGTCCAGAGAAACAATTTGTACTTTATTGTTGTACTCCTCCACAAAGCTTCCCAGTGCTAGACGAAACCTCTTGTCAGGTCTCACCGACCAGTTCATGCTATATAACGGCCATGGGGCTTCGTACTTGTAGATTTCTTTTCGTTTCGGTGGCACGGTATGCATAGCCATGATTGCGCCTGATACTTCTGCCTCTGTCGCACCAAAGATCGTTTAACGTTAATTTAACAATTTCAGAAACATTTAATAGAATGTAAACGATATCTTTCTTTCATGAGAGAAGTAAAATTTATTAAATTTAGGTAAATTAAAATCTTAATCCAATTGATGAGAAAACTTGTCCGCCTAACCTGATAATTGTATGTTCCAGGAAAACTGATCACCGAGAGAATAATCTGACTGCCAGGAACTTAAATTTCCACGTCCATCATATCGCTGGGAAAATCATCCAGAAAAGACATAAAGGTCCACGTAAATACCGTGTCTATATGATAAAAGCCGCGGAAGATCGAATGAAGAAAGTTCAGAACGCTCCCGGAAACACGTAGCTGATACTCCGAATATAAAATAACAGTCTTTGGAAAATCGCAGTCGAATACAACTGTGAAATCTTTCGAATTTGTTTGACAGATCTAGGAATTAGCCGCAGCTTTCTATAATTAGGAAAAATATACCGAATCCCACAGATAACATAGCGTTTTACCGTGCTTGGTAAACACCACATAAACACTAATACACACCACCAATACTGTGCGTTCTGTAGATCGATTATCCACTGTATATATATATACAGTACATACAGCATATATATGAATAAGATTGTGATTGTGATACTTTTCTTTCGGTGAGTTTCGGAACGCCTAGAGGATTTAACAAATGCAGTGAACTATACCAGAGGAGAAGGATGAGAGGCGCAATGGCCGCGTTCAGCAGATACAACTGTTGAGTTCGTCTTATCAACACTATGCGTTGATTGGTTGGTTCTAAAAGTAAGAGCCAATCACGTTCGACTGCTACTCAGCGGCTTGGTCTGCTGAACGCGACCAGGCGCAACCAAAAATGTGTCGGACAAAAATTTGATTGGGTGTTCTAGCTATTTTTTTGCCGCCATTATGCGCAATGTACATACTTATCTTTTTACATCATAATCACAGGACTCAAAGGTGCGAAGATTTTTCTCTCTTTGTCGATCGTCATGTCGATGGCTTTACGTTCAGTGCCATGCCCAAGTTTTTATTTACAGAAATATTAATTACAATAATAGCGTGATTTACGAATTTAGAGAGAAGCAAGTCGAGTGATCATAGACGAAGTCGACAACGCTCAGATAATTGTTAGTAAAATATCTACGTACAACGCTATTTGCAAATTCGATCAGATACATAAATATGTCACTGACAGTCATCATTTTTTAATACAAAATTAAACGACGTTACATCGTCAGATTATCGTGTAAATTTACTATCATGTGTAAATTTACTTAAATTATCCGTAATCAATGTTTTATGAATTGTCTGTGAGTTTATTTATGCGATTTTTTCGATTTTCAATCTTCTTTTCTATTATCGATTTGCTAAGTTTCTCACTACTCGGCCCTCGATGTAATCAGATTTATTTATGGCAACAAAACAACTGCTTGTTTAATCGCTATATTAATCTTTTGTCAAAATTCACGATTTTCTGATTGTTTCGACCTCTCTCCCTCCATATTCGTTTCGCTATCCGTCTTCAAAGATTTTCTTTCAAGGCATGATAAAAGCTTTTATTTTTGCCTTTTCTGCCTGAACTCGATTCCATCACGACCTACCTTAATGTCGCTACTTCGATTTTCAGACAAGTCCAAATTCTTGAAAGGCCTAAATCTTCTGAAGATGTCACCCGATGCTACAGATGATACCAGTCATTCAACATCGAATGATTTCAACATCGACAACGTCATCAACCTTCTGCTCAACACCAACGACGTCCTCGACCTTCTGCTTCATTTGATATCCCCTACACCTGTGCCTGTAATGCAGGACTTGCTTATGACCGTCTGGAAGTGTGAGTCTTGCAACAGGTCATACAAATCTCAGGGAAGCCTGTTGCGTCATTACAGAGGCGGAGATGCCATGTGGATCCCAAGTTTTTCTGCGTCATCTGCAAGAAACGGTTCTTCCAAAAATGCAACCTGAGGAGGCATCTGAAGAACTACGGAAGGGAAGAAATATTGGCATTTTTTCCTGTTAACATGGATATGATTAACGAAGTAGATCAACAACAATCCGCTGCCAGGGCAGTATAAACAGCAATCTGTGCAGAGCGTGATTGTGCGAAAAGGTGATGTGGGGCAGCTCTATTTATTTTTGCCAAGAAACCTGCAGGTTGATTGAAAGAATGTCAGACGATGGGGTGTAATCAGAAACACAATTAGCATCAGAGTAATTACTGTTTTTTGAAATCTTCTTGTCATAAAATACAATTCTCGAAAGAAATAAAAGTAACAATTCAATCTCTTTTAGCTGCACTGGTTGAACTGGTTGAACATACTGATACAGTAAGTTAGAATGAAACAAAATATACTTGTCTCACTTGTCACAATATACTAGTCTAGTTCAGCCAGTGCAACTAAAAAACAGATTCACCCTATATTGGGTGAAAAAGAGATTAGGTGAAGAAAGTACTATTTTAGAATAAGCAATAGTTTCTTGAGAAAAAAGAACAAAATGAGTTTTAAAATCGATTAGGAATTGAATTTTTTCGCTATTTGAAGAAGTTTATATCCCTGGACAGTTTTAGAATATGAAGAGTTTCTCATGAAGAAAGTTTTGTTATATTGTAATAAGCGTCCCATGTCATTATTAAATCTAAGAGGGTTTTCTAAAATTATTACGACATAATGCAATGAAAATTGGATAACCAATAATTAAAAATAAAAAGTTTATATTTTTATTGATTATTTTCTACATTTTATTTAATTTGCTTCTTTGTATTTTATATCGTTTGATATTTTAGGCAACACTGTACACTTAAAGTTATATATTGATGCTCTACGGCAACAGAAATATTTTAAAAACAAATAAAGTACTTTTACTTGTTATTACTAGACTATTACTAGACAAGTTTACTAGAAATATTTTATTTGTTTAATACTTACTAATTAATACAATTATTACTATTAATACTTACATTAGTAAGTATTAATTATATTACAATTAATATTTATTTTCAAATAGAATATTAACCCTGCAATCGTACATACAGGTCGTTTGCGTCCTCGGCATTTTGACTGTGGTATTTTCCATAGATTCAACGATTAAATTAACAATGGCAAAATTGCTTTTTATAATATTATTATTGTTTAAACTTATAGTTAAGATCTCAAGGAATTTTTTCAGAATTTTTGGTAAAGTTTTAGGTTGTTTAATATGCCGCGAACGCAAACGTCCTCATATACCGTTAATAGATGCCGAAAAAGGGTATACAATTGGAAGGTTAAAGAATTTAAGTTATTTGTATTTCTTAAAATTCCGAATTGTCACGTGCATGTAACAATACTATTGGTTACTGTATTTTTAAAACATTTATAGATTTACAATTTGCACTAAAATGTGAGCTAAAACTAGTACATAATTATTCATAGAAACAGTTTTTTTTTTATTTCGGTTTTCATACATTCGATAAGCTCGAAAAGCGATTGAATAATGAAACTCGCGCGAGTGTGTATAAATGATGAAATTCTTTGATGAGTTATCGAATTATAAACATCTCTTAAGATTCGATCACGTAAATTGTAAATTATGCGTTACGTAATTTTTAAAAATATTCGCTGCTATCTTTGAGCGTTACTCTATAATGGCATTCCAGAAAGACTTGGAGATAGGCGAAAAAGTAATTGGGTGCATTTAGTGGAAAAACGTTGTGAGATATATAAGTGTACTGGAGTGTGCACTGGCTCGACTGGTGTAAGTCGAGAGAGAGAGAGAGGGGGGAGGGGGGTCATATTAGTGCAGGGAGTGTCTTTGTCGTACTACTTGTATTGCGGGTGATTTGCTAATAATACGCGTATGCGTCTTATACGTCAGAGAAAGACAGAGATCCCTAAATATCTATCTATCTCCGGATCATTTTCCGTTCGCGGGCGTGGCATATGGAAGCATGCCCATTCCAGTATACTCGTATCTCATTGTCGGTGAAATGCACCCTATATGGAACAGGGTGGGAATCTTTCGAACTTGCTTCACTATAGTTAATATGGGACGAATCGTTGTCCATGGGTATGTATGTATGTACATACATACATACATACATACATACGTGCGCGCGTATACATACACTTTTCTAGGATTGGGATGAAAGTTTCGGTTATCGGTTTCGGCCGAAATTGAAAAAAGATTGTTTCGATCAAGACTCTCTCTCTCTAATAGAGACTATTTCGGTCTCTGTTTAGTTCTATTTTGATTGGTCAATGGTATTCTATTCTCGAAAAGGACAGCAATAGAAAAAGACGAGCTGGTTACGGTTCTCTATCTCATCCGTCCCGTTCTTTTCTAGAGTAGAGTTTATCCAGTTACATTCCGGTTCACTAAACCCCTGTTATTGTTAGCGAATAGTTTTAGGGGATCTGGGCGCTGTGTAACCCAAGGGCAGAGTTGGGCCTGTTTTCGTAGAGGTGGGGGGAGCATCTCCCTAAAAGATTTTCTACGGGGGCGTTTTCTACGGGGAAAACTAGCAACACTGAGATGCACGCTGAGTGCAGTTTTATTACTCCGCTGTGGAAAATCAGATCGCTTATTTTCAATGTTTAACGTTCTACTGACAAAAAATTGTTAAAATTCGACAAATTTTCATCGGTAGTGCGTTAAACATTTAAAATACGCGAACTGATTTTCCACAGTGGAGCAATGAAATTGCACTCAGTGTGCATCAGTGTTGCCTAGTTTTCCCAATAGGAAACGCTATTAATTTCTTTCAGGTTCTCGGAAAATCTGCCTGCCTGTGCTCGTAGCAGAGAAGGTCCCTCTCTGCTGGTAGCCATTAAAACGTAGTGCTTCGTAGTAGCCATTACAAGTCATTATCAATTGAGGGGAAGAAGACCTTAGGTAATCTGCTCATCGATCGTTCTCTCTTCGAAAACTATTCGCACGCGTTTTTAATACAAGTATCTCTTTCTCGTCAATCTTTTCGATTTCCAATCTTTCTATTATCGATTTGATAAATTTCTCATCGCTCGACGCTTGATGTACGTATGATGTATGTACATACGCAGATTTCTCTCTATCACAACAGATCAACGATCGATCGTTTAATCGCCGTCAATATTAATCTTTGGTCAAAATCCGTGATTTTCTCTCGTCCCCCCTGGGGCGTCGTTCGATCTCCCCCCCCCACCTCTTCCCCCGTATTCGTCCCGCTTCAAAGATTTTCTCTCGAGGCATGATAAACCTTTTGTTTGTTTGTTTTTGTGCCTTTTCTGCCTAAACCCGACCCCACCACGACCTCTCTTAATTGATTTTCAGACAAGTCAAAGTTCTCGGGAAGTCCTGCATCTTTTCTGAAGATGTCGATGTCGTCCGAGAGCGGCGAGAGCACAGATGACGCCGTCGCCAGTTCACCATTGGATTTCGATCTCGTTGCGATCGACATGTATCTGATGCATATCCTGTCGAGACATTCGAGTTCCTCTACGCCCACACCGTGTAGCTCGACGCCCGAAAGCGCGGAGCCGACGTACGAGTGCACCGATTGCGGCAAGACTCTGTCTTCGACGTCCTTGCGCGAATGCACCCAGGATCCCCATCGCAGACTCGTCCATAACGAGGTACAATTTTCTAATTGCGGCGTCACCGACGACAAGTGGAAATGTAATTTTTGCCCCAAAACATTCGATTCCCCGAAGAATTTGTCGTATCACAACAAATTCGAATGCCGCATGAGGCTCCGCGTGAATAAGTTTCGCTGCACCTTCTGCCACCGCGAGTTCAATCAAAAATGCAAGCTGACCCAGCATCTGGACAATAAGCATCGTCGACCCATGGATTATTGGAACAAGCTGTTAGCCGAGGAAAATTGAGTGCAATTCGCCTCTTCGAAATGAACGGCGAAGCGCGATCGTGCGAAAAGATGGCGCCGCTACATTAATTTTTGTCGAGAAACCCTTCAGGTAGATCGGAAGAATACAAGACAACGGAGCGTAATCATAAACACAATGAGCATCAGCGATTATACTGTCTCTTGGAAGTTTTTTTTTTTTGTAAGTACTAATTCTCGAGCGCGGTAAGAACTGAATCATTGTTTAAAATATTAGATGAAGGAGATATCAGATGAAAAATGTGCTATTTTAGAATGAGTAAATAGCTCCGTAAGAAAAAAGCAAGATAAGCCTTAAAATCGATTAGTAGTTGAATTTTTTTGCTCGCATGAGCGATATCTCTGGACAGTTTCAGAATACAAAGAGGTTTCTCATAAAGTTTTTGTCATAATAAGCGCGGCATATCATTGATAAGAGGGTTTTCTCAAATTGTTGCGTTTGGATGATTTCGAGCGGAGAGAACCCCGAGAGCGACCATCCCCCATATTCCCCATCCCTTTGTTCTTTATATGACGACGCATTTTTCGACCCGCCACCTGCAACTCAACTGCGTCGTTTCGGTCGGTAATGCTGGGCCTACAATGCGAGTCGCAAGAATTGACCAATCACAGTCGAATTTGAGGAGAATAATCGACTGTGATTAGTCAATTCTTGCGACTCACGACTTTGCGACTCGCATTGTAGACCCAGCATAACGGTACTACGTGATTACTGGGGATTCATGTTCGTGCTATGTTTTACGTTTCGTGCAACCGGGCCTTAGGCAAGGACCGACAAATGGTCCATATTCTCAATTCTCTTTTATATCAATAAAAGCGCGCTTAGAATGCGGTCCGTTTGTCGGACCTTGCCTAAGACCCGGTTGCACGAACGTCGCGTAATTTTAACATTAGCTTAACTCCACTCTTCGTCCCTTTTTAACTGTCCACATTAGAAAGAGACGTGGAGGACGAGGAGTGAGTTAAGTTAAAATTAAAGTTATTAACCGGGCCTAACTCATCTTATTCGTCTCATTTGACTTTCATCTCGAGGGCGTTATTTTCTATGAAAATCGATGAAATTCTTTTTCAAACTTATAAGAATTTTTTATGTTAGGAATAACGAGAGTTTAGATATAATTTTAAAAGAGAAGATGCGAATTACTTTAAAGTTTTTATAAGAATCCTTTATAAGAATCCTCTTTGTTAGGAACAAGAGGTCACAGCTGATATCATTTTAAAAGAGGTGCGAGTTATCCTAAAGTTCTTATTCCTTAGTTAAAAAAAAAAAAAAAGATTTGGTTTCCCTTTATGGAGAACACACGTATGCATTGCTGCTCAATTTTTAATATAAAGAGCACACGTTATCTTTATTAGTTTCTAATTCTATTTATCATGATTATTGTTAAATAATAATAATAAGGGTTTCATAAAATCATTTATCTTTACATGCATTTTGCAGATGTTTTGCTTATAAGTATCAATTTTTGATAGATACACAATCATAATTTATAAATTATTTTAATATATTGTTGCGCTCGCGGTAGAGTCGTTCGCGTGGCTCACTCGTGCACTCGCGAAATAAAGACTCTCCGACTTCTTAAAAAAGAACGCTTTATTTACAAAAAATACAGCGCGAAAATACAGTACACGTCAAATCAGTTTCAAAGCCCGGCTTTAAATCGCTGCAAACAAAAACTGAAACGATTCAAAGAAACGATTCGCGACTTCTTTCTCGACTCGCATTTATAGCGGCTATCTCGCACGAGTGTAACAATATTAAAATCAGAAATAAAATTTAAAATTAAAATAATATAAAAAGTTGATGTTTCTAAAATATAAAAAATTTATGCAATATATATCTGTACATATCTTTACAGTTAAGGTTTTGTGGAGATAAGCAACATATTTGGTCTGTCTTATATGCATCCATCTTCAAAGTAATCTTCGTTATGATGCTCCTTCAAGGGGACTTGTCGAAAATAAAACATATCTGGTCGGTCAGATTTGTTTCATTTTTGACATCTGACTGCCTAGTCCCCTCAATATAAGTGAAGTGGCGAAAAAAGTGCATCATGACGCGGAAAGATTATTTGAAGAATGGATGTGATACAAGATAAGCCAAATATATTGTTAACGTCGACTACGAAATTCACGATTGTAGTAGTATATGTCAAAATTATTGTAATGTCAAATATCTAAATTATATAATTTATCGTGACAATGTAAAGCCCCTTGCACTATAGGCAATAGCGATTGGTTGCCGACAATATACTATCGCTATCGCTATCGCCTATTGTGCAAGGGGCTTAATGCAAATTTTGGATAGTCATTAATCAAAAATTAAAAAATAATTGTATTTTTATTATCTTCTAAATTTCATTTCATTTGCTTTTTTATATTTTATATTGTTTGATATTTTTAACAACACTACGGTTAAACTTACATACTGATGCTTTAAATAACTTAACAGAAATATTTTGGCCGGGTAACCTTCTTTTAAAAATATTTTGTTTGCGTCAAACTAATATTTATTTTCAGATGAAATGTCAAAGAAGGTACTTCTTAAAATTCCGAATTGTCACGTGCATATAACAATTATCGATTATTGTATTTTTAACGTTATAGAATCTGTTCTTTCTATTGCTAAACTGGCTCTGTCTTACATCCCCATCTTCAAAGTAATCTTCGTTACGATGGCTGGCTCTTCAGCTTCCATTAAGGGGACTTGTCGAAAATGAAACATATCTAGTCGGTACCAATTTGTTTCATTTTTGACAAATCTGACTGCCTAGTCCCCTTAATATAAGTGAAGTGGCGGAAAAAGTGCATCATGACGCAGGAAGACATTTAATTTTTTACTCCACATTGAAAGGAAAAAGGTAAACTCTGAACTAGTCCAGCCAGTTCAGCAATAGAAAACAGATCCCTTGATGACGATTCGCAGTAAAATGTGAGCTAAAACTAGCACATAATTATTCATAGAAACAGTTTTTTTTTTAATTTCAGTTTTCATACATTCGATAAGCTCGAAAAGCGATTAAATAATGAGACTCGTGCGAACGTTTATAAATGATAAAATTCTTCAGCGAGTTATCGAATTATAAAAATCTGAAGAACTCTTTAAGACTTAATCACGTTAAGTAACAAACTATATACATGTTACGTTTACGTGAGGTAATGTTTAAGACTGATTGAAAAGACTGTTCAACAATAAGACTGATTGCGACTCTTTTTGAATGTTACGCTGTAATGGTACTCCGAAAAGAGTTAGGAAATAAGTAATTGTGTGCTTTTAGCGGAAAAAATATTGTGAGATATAAGTATATACTGGAAGTACACTGGGGCTCAGCTGGTGTCAGGTGTCATGCTGTGCCAAGAGAGAGGTCATATTAGGGTAGGCGGTGCCTTTGTCATATTACTTGCATTGTAGATGATTTGCTACTGGTAATACGCTTATTTGTGGATCAAAGAAAGACAAAGATCCCAACTTATCTGTCTCTGGATCATTTTCCGTCTACGGACGTGGCAGTGCACACTCCAGTATATATTATATACATATGTTACACTAATATTATAAAAGGTAAAAATAAGTATACATTTATATACAGCGTGTTTTAAGAAAAGGTTTTAAGAAAGGTATATTTTTGAGAGCAGATAGTATTCATTAAAGCAAGAAAAAAGTGCCTACTAAATATAGATACTAAAATCTATATTTTTGATGATAATAGACTATTTTTATTTACATCAGATTTTTAAGCAGTATTCATAATAGTACGATCTTATATTTAAGATCGTCTTAAGGTTCCTATTCACTTACTGCATACTTGAATTGATGACGAAGCGAAAAAATATATCGTGAAAATTCTTACAACCTATATTAGAATAATTAATTAGAATAATTAAATATCTTTTTTAATTAAAGCATTACTAACCGATAGAATAAGTTTTTAAATTTACGAACTTTTTCCTTTTATTTGCATAATCAATAAGTAAAATACATGTCGAATTGAATTGTGTCTAATTATAAGGACGAAACCAAAGCGTTTGATCCTTGATAATTAAAAACTGACAATACATAGTTTCGATGTCGTTTTCACGAAGAACGAAAACAAAACGACATTTTTTCGACGAATTTCTCACTGAGTTTACAACAAATGTTTGTAATTTAGTTACTATTTTAGCTGTAAACGTAACAAACAATAAATTTCATTATTTTATACTTGTAAATTGTGTTATTCCTTTCGTAAAAAAAATCCTACATTCATATGAATATTCCTCTCATATTTCTTTTTCGCGAGGGTTCTAACGGTACCCTAATATTTTAGTGGAATATGTAAAAGAATATGTAAGTACGCGACTAATAAAACGGCTCTGAGGCTGAGGCGTCGTGCACCGTTAATGGTGTTGCTTACTGCGCGTGCGCAAGTTTTGCTTTTCTTTCTCCCCCTTATCCCAACGGACCGAACACAACTGTCTTCTTATGTCAGCATTGTCAGCTGATTTTCTTGTTGATCGTATTTCGTGTTACTGGTTACTTTCCGTACTGCAGTTTGAGCAAGGTTGAGCGTGAATCATACATTAATCATTTGTTATCTGGTATGACAAAGGTATATTGCACCTATACGAGGTTACTGTAAACAGAGAGCAGTATATATTTTTGTTATTCTGTGCAGTATTTGAACAGTAAACAGAGTCTAATGGCACCCCGGTATTCCACACGAGAAATGGCAGAGATGGTTTTCTGCTACGGTTTAGCTAATGGAAATGGTCGACAAGCTCGTGCGTTCTACGCCGAAAAATATCCAAAACGCCGGATACCAACCCACAAGATGTTTAGCGGGTTATTCCAGCGACTTGTAGAAACTGGATCATTGGCACGACCAAGATCAGAGGGAACTTTCTCAGTTCGCACGGCTGATATTGAGGAACGGGTATTGAGAAGAGTGCAAGACGATCCACAAACAAGTATTAGAAAAATAGCAACAGATGAAGGCCTCAGTCCTTCTCTTGTCTGCTCAATTCTTCACGATGAGAGAGAATAGTCAATTCTGTACATGTATCAATAATAAATTTATTAATAAAATATCCAAAAACATGATGTATTATTTGAAAAATAATCTAAAAATTTTCCACATTTCCAAGAATACGAGATGTTAGATCGCAAAAATCAAAAGTCTTGAAAATCTACAAAAATTAATATGGGATCATAAGAAATTATAAGTACTAAAATGGAAAAATAAGAGAAAAGGATTGAATAAATAATCTAAACCACTTCATGGCTCTTTTAAAAAGTTTAACTTAATTTTTCTTATTTACATTAAAAGTAATTAAATTTAACAATAAGTTCAATTATGGTCGAGATAAATTAACTGCAAGAAATTGATTTCAATTTTCAATCACAGACCTATATCCAGAATAATCCAGATATGGACTGACAATTGCTGGACAGTTGCACTTTAGAGAGAGAAGTACGCTTCTCTTTCTAAAGCCCCGGACACACGAATCGACGGAAGACGTAAGACGTAAATCGTAAGGAAATCCACTAATCAGAGTCGACTATTCCCCTCTTCTTCCCTCTTAAAGGTTCGCTACACTTATGCTAAGACTCCATAGACGCGGAAACGCCGTGCGGTAGAGTGCGTTGACCAATCAGAAGGCTGCCGCAAGTCACCTGCGGCAAAATCAAAATTTGTGATTGGTCAACGCACTCTGCCGCATGGCGTTTCCGCGTCTATGGAGTCTTAGCATTACGCTTACGCTTTTAAATGACTAAAATTTTTCAAAATATATATTTTTATTTATTTAACGTATCTTTTATCTAATTTTTTTTATATAGGTTGTAGCGATCTAACAATAAGTCGCACAAAAGGTCACACACAGTATATAGTGAATATAAGAATTAATTATCTACCGGAAATTTAACTCGGAACCGAATCAAACAATTAATCAGAAAAACTAATTTCTATCGAATTTCATATTACTTACTGTTTATCAGCAAGGCAGTTTTGATTTTTTCCGTATAAAATGAGCAAATCACGAAAGAGAAGAAAAATATTGGAACACGTGGTGGTGAGCACATACTATTGCCAGAGAGAAATTTGAGAGCGGCCATCCGGATCATTTATCTCTATTTTTCATGGTTCCAACCTATCTAGTCCATATCTATAAAGTTCTATGGATTCAATCTTTACAAATTTTACCTCTATGAAGTTGGCCGGACAACTTCAACGTATCGAACTTTCATTAATTGGAATCGATTGGTGGTCTTTGGTAGTCTAGTCCGATCGTTTGGTGGTTAGTCGTTTCAAATTTTCGTCAAAATCAACAATCTATTAACATCGACAAAGTATCAGGGAAACATAATCGACGAGGAAGTTATTTAAAATTCAAAGAATTTTTCGAAATTTTTAAATCAATTCCTTTATGAGAACGAATTCCCTTATGTATAGTTTCCTCTCTTCATGTTTCTTACTCCTTGACGTAAAACGTAACGCTTGACAGTTTGTTTTCGCCGTATTGTCATTGTCCTCTGAAAAGAGGCAGGAGCCAAAATAAAGAAAGAAGAAGAAGACAGTTTGCTTTCAAGGAATTAACACAGAGACTAATTTTACGCAATTTTATTTTAATACATTATGGCAGGAGAAGTGATTGTTGATGCATTGCCGTATATTGATCAAGGATATGATGAACCGGGCGTACGAGAAGCGGTAAATAAGAATTATATTCATTTATAATTTTTTTTTTTGGATTTGCTTCTTCTAGGTTAGGAGCGTTAGCGCCTTCAACCTTTATAATATAATAGCAATGTGATAGGTTATACGTTGATGTTATGTTTAGAAAAGTCATCGCGTATTTTTTTCATTTCGCGAAATATTTGTGGTTCGATGTTGTGTATTTCAGGCACTGGCGATGGTAGAAGAAGAGACACGACGTTACAGACCGACGAAGAATTATCTGGAGCATCTGCAACCTCTGTGTATAACCGCTTTTGAGACGGAGATAATGAAGCACGAGTTCGATAGGATGCATAATCGCTTGCCGATGGAAGTGCTCAGCATGAAGCGTTACGAGTTGCCACCGCCTCCGTCTGGCAAGTTGAACGATTTAGCTGCGTGGAACGAAAGCGTGGAAAACAGCAGCGCGCAATTGGAGCATCAAGCCACGAGGTAGACAAAAGATTTCACCGGTGTATCACCCGCCTTCTCCGATTTTTGCATTATCCTCTATATGCTTTTGGGCAATTTTAGAATTTGCAACTTGGAACTGATGATGGATTACGGTTGCGAAGCATGGAAATCCTATTTGGAGGTGCTGGTTCAACTGCTAGGCCAGGCGCAGAAGCAGCTGCAGACGCTGAGGAAGAAAATTCAGGAGATCAACTGGCAGAGGAAGTCGATGCAGACTCAGGGAGGTGACAAGCTGAGAGCCCTCGAGGCACAGTGGGTCGGTTTGGTGTCTAAAAATTATGAGATCGAGCAGGCTTGCGTGCATTTGGAGGAGGAGATGCAGAAAATCATGATGAGCAAAGAAGCGGTGGAGATCAATGATGTACCGGCGGAGGAAGGGCCCGATGTGCCTGAGAATAACGCCACAGAGACTATGGCATTACAGATGCAGCAGCAGGATGAGAATCAGGATGCTTAGTGTAACTTGTAAATCTTATATATATATATATAGAGATGATAAATATAACTAATTTGTACAGACACAGTGGATACGTATTCATCAAGTATTTGCGGACGCATTGTCGGGGGATATCTATAATAAAGCACAGTTTATTTCATTATAGTTTACACGTATCACACTTGTGGTTTATGCTTTTACAATATACATATGTACACGGCGGTTATCGATAGCGCGATACACTACTGAATTAATTTTTTGTAATTTATGACTTATGACGTGCTGAAGGGTCTGTTTTATATAGGCTGCTTTTGCGTTCGTGTATCGATACAATTGCACACATTGCGTAGGCCTAGCTGAATCGTTTCTTTTTTTATTCTCGTTAGGAGCAATATATACCTTGATATAATTACAAAGCAAACAGCTAAGCGTCTTTACTTTCGACTATTCAGTGTAAAAAAATATGTGTATGTATGTGTATATGTGTTTATGTGTGTGTGAGAAAGTTTCAATCTCCTTTTTGCGTTTAATCATGTGTGTGTGGGTACATGTGTGTGTGGGTACATGTGTGTGTGTGTGTGTGTGTGTGTGTGTGTGTGAGTGAGTGAGTGAGTGAGAGAAAGAGTTTCGATCTCTCCATTTTGCGTTGAATCATAATTTCCTCGTGATGACAGGATAAACATTAAAAGTAATTATTGAATTATTAAGCTTGCACCGTGTGTCATTTTTACCGTTTAATCACTCAACTGTCATAAGGACGTTTCGCTGGCGCCAGAACTTTGAGACTGCAGTGCCATGCTTCCCTTATAGCCCATCGACTCCTCCTCCAGTAAAGCTATTCGTTGCTTCAATGCTTTCACCTGTAATTAATTTAAAAAATAGTGCAATATACAATCTGATATATATGTCCGATGTGACTTAATGTTTGTTAATGTAAATTACAGTTTTCAACACTAGAACTACCAAAGGGGTCATCCGTTTGACATTTTTTAGTAACTTATTACTCATTTTTTTAATATTTTATTTTCTGCAATTTTCCCTGACTGTTATTGAAATTACATAGACGATTAACTTTATTAATTTGTAAGATTTCTTCGGTAGAAATAAATATAGATTAATCTCTGGCAGTTCTAGTGTTAAATACATCAACGTCACATGTTAACATCATCTCTCTCTCATAGTGCAAAAACTCTTTTTTAATTTATCATATTATAACTCAGAATATAAAATAAAATCTAAACGATTTGTAATATGTATATCTAAATGATTTGTATATCTAAATAATTTGTATAATGTTTTTATAAAATTTATCCCCTGAAGTGTATTTGCATAATTAAAAATTACTGTATACATATACATATATGTATGTATACATATAGGTTTGTGTTGTATCAGCGCATGTGCTATTATCAGGAAAAATCCAATATGGCGGCAAGCGACTAGCACCAACTAGCACTTAGCAGAAGGAACGATTGTGCGACCCGGTGAACGGAATTTGGACGTTTCAATGTTCAGTCCAAAATTGAAGAGGATAATTAGTAGACTGCCGGGAAAAGCGCTTGGCGAGTACCGACTGCTGCCGCTATTCTTCATCTTCGGGGCCGCTTTGGAATACTCTATGATCCACTGGCAAGTGGGAGAGGTTAACTTTTACAAGACGTACAAGCGCCGAAGGGTGGAGGAGCTGGTGGAGGAAAGATTAAAGCAGGAACAGGCCTGAAGGCAATTTTTTTGCGCCGACTTTCTATCGCGCAATGCCGGCTAACGTATCCACGTCACGGTACATTATATTCTGTGCAGCAGCACTGGTCACAATGCTAACTGGTGCACAGTGCGTTCACCAGATCTACACACCGCTCAACAACCTGGACGATCTGGTCGAGCAGAGACTAAAAGAGAGGCGGGAAGAACTGCAGAAGAAATAGTACTACGGAAGCATGTATCTAGTGTAATAAATTATTACCGTTTTTACGAATGAGTGATCACTACATATACTTCACCTATACTTAATCATACCTGCGCGGCGTGTCTCTCTACCATTCCCAGCATCTGTTGCTCCAGCTTCTTTAGCCTGGACTGATATTTCTTCTTGGACTTTTCCAGAGTTTGAACCAGCGCTCTGAGGGACATTTTTATCCTTATTTCGAGTATATGCGCGAGTAACGACGGGCAAATTTTCCATGATAATTACCCGTTAGCTCTTTTCAAGTCGTTGACGAGCTCGGCGGACTGCTGATGCCTGAGTTCGGAATTCTTATTGACTTCGTCCAAGGTTGAGATCAATTCCTGCAAACGTTCCTTCAGTCTTGCCTCCCTGCCCAGCGCCTCGATTAATTCAGATTCCATTCCCTCACTCTCGTTGTCGCTTAAACCTCGGTCCTAAATGCACTTTTAATTATAGCCGAGCCGCGGAAAGGGAATAATTTGAAGATTATACGCAGGTAGTTTTTAACTGACTCAACTGACCACATTTATTGAATTAAAATCATAATTTTTTTGTGAGTCTATCATATTACCGAGTCTATAATTTTTATTCACATTTAAAAACGATCAAAATCCATGATCGAAATGTCATGATTTTAATTCAATGCCAGTTGGGTCGATAAAATCTACCTGTGTTAATTATTTATCGAAGCAATGTCATTGTTTTTGAAGATTATACACGATACCTTGTTTGTCGCCATCGCAAGCATAGCTTCCGCGTCGCTCAGCTGGCCCTGAAGATGCTGTATGGTGGCGTGTTGCGCCGCGATCTGCGTGTCACGTGCGTTCAACTTCAATTCTATCGTAGCGCGTTCCTTCTCCAGAAGAAACACTCTGGCGCGTAACTCGGCCTTGTCTTCTCGCATGGCCATTAATTCCTATGAAAATATTGAATTCTTGTAAAATAAATTTTACATATGTTGAACTTTCGTTTCAAATTCTAAAATTCTTTCTCTTGAGTTTTAATTTAACTAGATACCGACCTGCATGAGTACGGCAGTCTCCAAGTCGAGTTTCCTGGCCTCCGCCAGAGAGATGGTGTTCTTTGAGTTCAAGGGTTCCGCGTGCACGCTCTCCAGCTCGACCGCCGTCGATCTGACCATTGTACGTTCTCCCTTCAGCCTGCCGATGTGTCTCCTGAGTCGCTGTTCGTCCTCCACGCTCCACGTTATTTCCGATCTATCGAAAAGGCATTTATTATGACCAAAAATTGCACACCCTACGCACGACGTGAAATACCTACTCGTCTGACAAGACCATGCTGTCCTCCCACGGAGCGCCTAGCGTATTAGTACAGTCGTTCTCGAGTCTATTTAGGACGTGATACGCAACGTTTTCGGCTGCCCTTCTATTATCGATTGTCACGCTATTTCTCTCGGTGGAGAGCGCAATTTCGCTCTCCAGCAGAGCGACTAGAACATCGTAGGCCTCGATCGCGCGATCGCTGTACGAAAGTGCGAGTCGCAACGCCGTCGCATTCGACTCGTACTTGCCGACTAATAAGCTTAACCTGGAACGTCGAAAAAAAAATAGTTATTTGTGTAACAATTGCTGTAAGATGGAAATTGGACGTGCGGACGCACGAGCCGGAGGCGAGTGCGATCACCCGCACGTCCAATTTTCAACTTAACACACGTGTTACACACCCTATTTTATATTACAAGTGCGTGGAAAGTGGTCTATCCCGCGCGCGTCGCGCGCGGAATGGGCCACTTTCCACGCACGTGTGACATAAAAAAAGATTATTTCACGCGTGTTATTCGTATCATTTTTGACAAACGTACCTATCGCATTGCGCCTTGCTCTCGTGCAACGTGAGCGCGAGGACCGCGTTGTTCGCCCGCGCGTGCTCGAGTCTGCTGTTCAACCGTTCCGTCTCGACCTCGAATTGCTTTTCGGAGCCATTCAATTCCTGCAGGTTGGATTGCTCCAAGAGATCCGACACGAGGTGCTCGGCGACCATCGTGGAGCACACCTGATATATGTTAGAATATAATTACGCGTTTGTTGTGTGTGAAAAAATTAGAAAGAAAGATAAAGTGAAATTCGTACCCCAAGATTAGTGATGTCCGGGCCGGTAATGTGCCTCTCATCCGTCCTCCTCAATCTCACCCTCTCTGCCATTTTAAGAACCGGCGGCTCCTCCCTCGTTACGCTCTTTGTCGGAGGTGTCTGTAGCGGTGGCAAGAGTGGCGAGCACGGTGCCGTCAAAGGTTCCGGCGAGCTGGTGTTGCCTCTTGTCTGCGGAGAGAAGAGGCGGGGCATGAAAGGATGAAACAAAGGGACACGTTAAATGGGGGAATTATTGCATTTTATTAACATCTCTTTGTTTCCTCGATATTTATTCTTTACCATTCTTTCAATTGTCTTGATTAATATTAATTTTGTTTTATTAAAATATCAGTTTCTCTCGTATTTTTATGAGAGACCGATTTCCGGAAGACTGCTGCTCACTCTGAGTTCTCGACGTGGCGAATCGCTGCTCGCCGTTTGCCTCTGGCTTTTGAAATGAACAAGTTGTGCCTGCAGACTCGTGATCTCCGCCCGTAACGCCGTGATCTCTTCCTGCAGCGTCGCGACGGCAACGCTCTGGCACGATGCCGCTTGCTGCGTTGGCTCGGGAGTCGGTAACGCGGCCGGACTGTCCCTACCATTCTATATTAAAAATAATAATGCATTTTTTAAAAGAGATATATTAAATATAAAATATACCCTCCAAACATTAGGTGTATATATATTACGTTCAAAATTGAAACCTTAAGAGTTCCTTTTACCTCTGCCGGTCGATTCTCGTCTTCGCAGCAGCTGGAATCGGCGTCCCCCAGGGTACGATCGCCATCTCCATGGTTGTCCCCACCGCCCTCGCTCTCCTCTACCGGGTTGGTGATGGAACCCTCGGCGTCCCTGCTCGTCTCGACTTCTACGCATTTATTAAGACCATCTCAAATTGCGGCCATCGACGATTAATACGCTCTACAATATGCGATTCGGAGAAACGAATCTACTCCATGCATCAGCCCCGGTTATTTATCGGAATAAACGATCGTCTCTCGCGACAGTGCGCGCCGATGCCGACGGTATGCGGCGCGTCGCGAGGCCCTAAGTAATCGCTCTTCTTCTCGGTATCGAGAAGGGGGACCGGGGGAATCGAGAGCGCGCGCTACCGAGAGCTATTGCTATTGTTACTGTCGGTGCCTGGAGAGAGATTCGCTGATTGCCCGCCGGGGAATTGGCCGTGGCACTCGTTACTCGAAGGTTCGCCAAGGTTCTCTTCCCTCTCTCGCTCTTCGTGGAGCGAAATCGATACGCAGAATCGCGATACTCTCTCCCGGTGCGTTCGTAACCGTAAGGCGGGATGAAGAGAAGAGCTGGACCCTTACCGGACTCGTCCTCCTCGGCAATTACGGTGGCGCGATGCCGCTCCAGCTGTCTGCCGAGCTCGGCGATGACGGAATGCAACTCGGTGAGCCGCTCCTCGTGCCGCGCCGCCTGCTGTTCCGCCCGCTGCTCGGCGCGGGCCGCCTGGACCTCCGCCCGCATCAGCGCGGCCTCGGTCGTCTCCCGCGCGCGAGTAGCCGCCACCAGCCGCGAATTCAGCTCGGCCACCTCGGATCGCAGGGAGGAGAGCGCGGCCGCGTGAAGCTGCAAAAGGAAATTCATTTATTCTATGTATATTTACTTATTTGCGTGTATAAACATAAAAAGATTAAAAAAGATCCGAGTTAATGCACATATAATTATAATTACATCAGCAAAAGACGCAAAAAGATGTTGAAAGAAGAATATGAGAATAACAATTTTTTAAGTCAATAAAAAAAAGAAAGATAAGATCTAACGAAGACCGTAAGATAATAAATGCTTAAAAGAGCTAAGAGATATATGAAAGGAAGTGCACGCGATCGAAGAATTTGACCTCCAGTAAGCATATCCAATTTAAGGGTTTGAATTTAGGAACTATAATACGAATTCTTCATAAAAAATGAATTGGAATAAGTTTACGGACTATTTGGACTATAAACGTTAGATATAATATTTAAAAAATTATGAGTACTCTTTAGAATAAGAGCATTTATGGAAATTGTGAGCAAATTTCAAAATTCCAGGCTCTTTTATATTTCCCTGATTATATTTCTCTAACCAATTTAAATTTCCATGACTTTTCCCGGTTTTCCAGGTCTGTCAGGCAACCCTGAAATTATAAATGGTATTTTACCTGGAATCTGACGCTAATTGCAATCTAAAACGGGCTTAATTTCATTTGATGTATAATAATTAATATAAACGAGTTTCACGTTCATCTGTGACTCTCGTAGATCAATCTAATTGAGTTAAATGTAATTTTCTTATCGTAAATGCAATTGTTACGAAAGATTTAAAATAGCATTGAAATAGCGCGTAGATATTTACAATTAGCGTGTGAGTCAGGTCTGTTCGCCCATTTACATTCGGTTATGTAATTTTGACGAGCGCGATCATTACCGCGAATCGAACGAGATCTCTCGGCTGTTATAGAGAGAATTAAACAGCGCGTATCATTAACGCGGATCAGGATACATTATGAATCCGTTCGCTTCCATTTATTCCCGCGGATAATTGTGATTTCTTCTCACACGGGAAGTGCGTAAAAAAAAGAATTGCGTTCAAATACGGGCGTCCTTCGTACATGCAACCAGCCGTGTCGGACGGTTACGAGACATCAACAACTTCGTTATCGGTAATTTCCAAGCGTTTTGCGAAGAGGAAGCAGGGGGCAGCTTGCAATGCATAAAAACGCGTCGGTCGCGCGGCGACGCGACATTCATCTCTGGAACATCCTTGGTACCACATCGACGTTAGTGCGAGTTGGAACTTATTTCTGTGCGAAGAGCTCAGGTAACGTCGAGTCGCTTGGCGAACCGAGAAAGATCCTGTCGCGATCGTCATCCTCGGCAAGCGGAAATTTTTCACTTTACTTCGATCTTCATCTCAGTCTCTCATGAATTGTCATTAATTTGATAGTTTTATTTATTGTCACATTGTTAATTCGCACTGTTACTTGTCGCGCGACAACGCATCAATGGAGATATTTTGTACAATTTTGTTCATTTTATTTCAATCTTTACTTAGCTTTCTCATTTGCATTCTTTTTAATTGATTCAATTTTACTATAGAATTCCGATATTTACTGTCAGCATCTGTCAGTACTGAAAATCTACAGTATACGTGACATAAAATATAGAAAAATATAGATTTTTAATACTGACAGTGAATATCGGAATCTATATTTATCACATTTATAATTCGCATCATTATCTTCTGCGCGATAATGCAGATTACGTCTCATGTTCTCGCATGACAGGTGACCGAAGTTAATCAAGGATGAAGCTAACTGTCGTCTTGCTGATGGCCATCGCCGTCGTACTCGTGACGGCGGCCGATGACGGGGTCGATGAGGAGTACATACACCTGCCAGGGAAAACTTGCGAGGATGCACCGCCGTGTCCCGACGAGAGACCCTGCGTGATGGCTCCACCTCATTGCAACGTTGGCACTTGCGGCACAGATCCGGTACCGACGTGCGGCAAAAAGCCAAAAATGTAGTAAAATCCTGAACGCGCGAGCTCGAAGGGAGCCCTATATTGTATCTTGACACGATGCTGCTTCTTACGATTAATAAAACATATTGTTGTCGCTGACGAAAAAAATCATTGTGTGCGCGCATAAATCCGATACATTTAAGCAGATCCGATCCGCGAGGGAACGTTTCGCGCGGCGAGCTCTCCGCGTGCCTCGCGATGTCTCGCGATGTTTCATTCACGGAGAATCCTCTCTCGTTCGGTTAAGGTCAGGAGTGCGCGAGCGCGAGCGTGTGTCGACCCAGGGCAAACACAGGGGGACACGACGGACGGAGTGTAATTCAAACAAAAAGCAATCAAGGATTCAATTACAAGGCCGGTCGGCCGTGCGGCGGTTTGCAGTTTCATCGGCGAGTAAGGTCACGAGCGAAGAGATTCGATTACCCTCGCTTTCGTATACATCGGACCGTCCGCTCGCAATTAATTTAGATATAATTTTCATGCTACCCTTTTCTTTTGCGAAATGTCGGGAGCGCGAAGTAATAAATAATTACTCGGTGGAAGATAGATTTTTTGCTTCTTTTTCTCGATCAGCGAGTCTTAAGACGGTCGATATTTGCTGTAGTCTATTTAAATGTAAAGTTTCTGGACATAGTCTCACGCGATGCTCAAAAAGGCGCTCCGAGTGCAGTCGGATAACATGCGAAGGAGCGTGCACGATGTTCCTCAACGGAGTAACTTTCCGTGTTGTTGTGAAAAAAAGAAGAAGAAGAAATGCGCGCACGAGCCAGAGGTGCCGGGCAACAGAGAGAGAGACCCCCGTGGACCATATACCATTAACCTACATCGAAAAGAGCCGGTTGCATACAAATGACGGCGTCTTATATTGCGAGTGGGTGAGATACGGGGGAGGGAGCGAGACGAAGAAAGGGGAGGGTGAAGAAAAATGGAAGACGTTGGATATTTTCGCGGTCCAGCGAGCCGAGCGACGCGCGATACCTTTTTCTCCGATGATACGGCACGAGCTTCAAAGCTATTTCTGATCCGAGGTACGATCGTACCGTGCGATTGTTGCGCTTTCGCAAGCGAAGTGCTCTCTTTGTGCACGCGTCTTTTCGGAAAGGCGTTGCCTTTCGAGGAAAATTAAATCTGGCACAATAACGCGATGCGTAACACTGTGTTAGATCAATATTAGGAATATGAACGAGATATTTGCGATGTGACGGTAATGATTTTCATTCGACCCGACTGGCCACATTTATTAAATATAACCGTCACGACGTTTCAATATCTTGAGATAAAGACTAAAACCAATGGTTAGTTATTTACTGGCGAAGCAAAGTTCATTTTTGGTTTAATTAGCGATGTAACATTATTTCGAATAATGTAGAAATTATGACCAAATTAATTCTTACGATGAGAAAATAACGCGACACGTCTACTTGCGTTTCAAAACCATCAGTTTCCTCTGCTTTAAGGTTTTAGGCCTCTAGTATTTTCCTGGTACAGGCCTCTCGATTTTTTCCTTTGGATTTCTGAGAGGCTTTTCCTTTGCGCTTGGCTTTCAGACATAAATTATCCTCGAGCGCATTCGATAAGCGACTGCGAAATTGCGCCGACGTTTATCGGCTTGCCGCGCGCGCAGTGTCGTCGGTGCAGACTTAGCGCATATTCGTCGGTGTCAACCAACTCATAAACGTTAACGATATGGCCCCTCCGGCTGAACTTTACGGCGGTATGCGACCCGGTGGCTTGGCGGTCGCGATGTACCTGGCAAATGCCTCAATTCCGCGCGCTACGGAACGCGCAACGGTGCAACGCAACGGTAGGTGTTTGCTGATTTCACGGTTCGCGCGTGTTTTGCCAGCCACGCATGAGCAAAGATCTATTACGGAAATCGTCGGGCTCTTCATCGTGCAATTTGGCGCGATCCCCGTACGACCGCGACGGTGCAATCGTTTCCGCGATCGCGGTACGGAAACCGCGGTGGTTTCGCGATTACTTCTCACCGCGCCCTTCTTCCCATCGCGATTTACACCGCTCGAGAATTGTTCGATCGCCGACTCGCGGAGACTCGCATCCGTTTGTTTGCTTTCCGTCTGATCCTTTCCGCTTGATCTCCGAAAGCGAGAATTGGATCATGTAGTCTCTTCGTTTTCGCACCACATCGTTTTAATTATCAACTGTGAATGTGAAGTCTCTAATGTCCATTTCTACCAATGCAAGTAAATTTTAATCTTGGTTTAACTTACTTTTCATCTTTTTCTAGTTCTAAAAGTTAGAAAAAGATAAGAAGTAACTTAAACCAAAATTAAAGTAAAATCTACGTTTGTGTAGAAATGGATGTAAAACTTTTACTACTTATGTCGTAATTTTGATCAATTCTTCCTTTTCTAGAAAAAAAAAACAGATGAAACTTAATTCTGTGCGCATTTACATAATGATGAAAAATACAAGAAACTGTAGCAGCAGATATGTATGCAGAGTGGAGAGTAATTAATTTTGTTACTTTATCTTCATATCCAAAATAGGAATCCTCGGGATTTCATATTCGCTAGTGTGTAGTTTTCAGAGTTAAGGGTTAAATATCGCGTCTAATCTTGGAATGAGTAACGTTTATATAAAGCACGACGCCAAGTTTATCTCGGAAATTTTATATCTCCGTGGAGATAAAATAGGCGTTCTATTAGTAACGGGGAGTCATTTGAGAAAACGTATAGAAATAACTTTTGCTTGCGATATAAAAACACTTTTGATATAACTTTTCAAGCGCAATTCAACGCGGCCCATATATCATTTAGAAAGATCTAGACTGCGTTTCAGCTAGCGATGGCTCGAATCGTTTTATCGGATATTACTCGGAAGTAATTTTCGCAAAAGTTACGCCTCCCGCGAAGGGAGAGAAACGACGAAAGTTTTCCGTCAGTCGTAACCATCGTGAGATTAGCCCGGGAGAAATTTGTCGAAAAAAAAACTGAGGGTGCACGAGGAGACGCCGCGTCCGTGGAGACACCGATGAGAGAAGGGTGTGTGGTAACACTCTAGGATACACGTCATAAATATTGGAAGCACGTGGAAGTGCGAAACAAAAGCTTAATCTGCTTCCGTATTACGTGGTAAAATTGCACAAGGTGATAAATTATGAAAGCCGACGTCATAAATCGTACAAAGATATTCCTTCTTATCATTTTTCAGCTTTCCAGATCTCTAAGCATTTTAAGAGCTCATCTGAATAGATACGATTACGATAACTTTTCATGGATTTTCTCGCAACCTGTTCAATTTTATAAAAATATAAATTTGTACCTTAGAGATAAAGAATCATATAAATGTTATCCATCGTTATAAATGTATAGAGAAAACAGGATTTATAAAGTTTGTTATTTCCATGAAAATTTCCAATATGATATTTTTTTAAATTGTATCTTAGGAACGTTGTATCTTAGTAATAATATGGACATAAGACTCTTTATCATTATACAATATAAGCTTTTTGTATATTGGAAAAAGTAAATTAAAACTGAAGACAAGATTCTTTTACCTTTAAAGTACAGAAATACAGAATAGTTATTTGGTGTAACAAGTGCTGTAAGATGAAAATTCATGGGTGCGGAGTTGACTCGCCTTCGGCTCGTGCGGTCACCGCACTCGGGAATTTTCATCTTACAGCACGGCTTGCACACCCTATTTTATGTTGCAAGTGCGTGGAAAGTGGTCTATCACACACGCGTAGCGTGCGTAATGGGCCACTTTCCATGCACGTGTTACATAAAATAATTTATTAATATTATACTTATATAAAATAATTTCTTCGGTGGTAACTTTCGGGATCTCAATTTGACGTAGAAAAATTAATGTAGAACGCAATGCAAAGTTTTTCCAGCGGGTGTTAATGCGCAAGGGTAATCCCGGAAAGAGAGCCGCGGAATTCATTATTCGCGAATGAGGCAAAGCGCTGTCGGATTTGTCCGCGCCGGCTCTCTCATTATGACTGACGTGCAATTTATCGAGTAAAAGTTCTTTTGTGTTTTCGTTTGTGTGACTGACAGCGGCGGCGCGGTGATTTATCGTCGCGCGCGCAAGCTCGACTGCAAAAGCCGCGGAGATCTGTAAAGAGCAATGCCTGCCTGCCTGCCTGTCGTGTATCGACCTCGTTGACAGGTCTCTCTGACGGCGTATATCAAGACGCGACGTCATATCGCGGACGCGAATGGAAAAAGTTAGCATCGCGCGATAAATCAGCCTCCAAATCCTACGCGTCCTCGCGACAGATATACGAGGAGCGATATGGTAACGATATGATCGAGGACGAGATCGAAATTAAAGGAATTAGTTGTCTTTTCCCCCCGAAAAATTTTCTGAAAATAATTTGAGATTTTTTAATTCAATTCACGGATAGCGAGTTAGCGGATTCCTTTGCGTAAATATTAATTTCTTAAAATAAAAAAAACCTCGAGCTTTAACTACGTATATATGTTAAAGCACAGATTTAATTCTAGATTTCTACACTGAAAAAAAAATTAGTATTTGCGGGAAAATAGATTTCTTTGAATTTAGTTTCCTTGATTCAAAGAAGTATTGGGTAAATTCAAGAAAACATTTTTCTGAGTTCAAAATATTTTCTTGAATCTACTTAATATTTCTTTGAATTAAGAAAATTAAATTCAAAGAAATCTATTTTTTTACAAATAATAATTTTCTTTTCGGTGGTGTTCTTTTTCTCAACCTTGCGCTCTCTCCTTCACCTACCTACATCGTCTAAGGCCGGGCCGGGAAAACTTACTGCATTTTGCATGTCCTTATTGGCCTCGACCTGTATGGGCACGGTCTTATCGGGTCGGCGATCATTGGGACAGCAGAGCCATGACCTAGACCTGGTGAGCCCCCTGGACTCTTCCTCCTCGTCCTCGGCGACTTCCTCGTCCTCCGTGGTCGCGCAGTGAACGTAGACGAGGTCATCGCGACGCAGCGGCGGCTCGAGAATGGCCTCTTTCGCGGCCAAGGTTGGCACGTGGCCGGAAAGCATCTGCACCGGATAGCGCGGCGATTGTTGCTGCTGCTGGTGCTGCTGATGCTGACGCTGAGACTGAGGTTGCTGATGCTGATGCTGCAGCTGCACGTGCTGCCGAT